TCAGCTACAATTTGGAGAGGAGAGGAGCAGCGGAGCGTTTGGGGAGGGGGCGGGGACGTCTGGAGCCGAGGTATTGCATTGCACAGATTTTCTGCAGTATTTTTTTATGCAACGTTTCTACTTCTGTTATTTGCTGTTGTTTCTAAAAAAAAATGCACAACGATATATAAATAAATAAATTACCGATTAATCGAATCGTGGTGTATTCTTGAGTATCGAAAATAATCGAATCGTTGGGTCAGGAAATCGATACTGAATCGAATCGACATGATGGATGTGATTTACATCCCTAGCACTGACCAAAGGTCTGGACACCTTCTAATTCAAAGAGTTTTCTTTATTTTCATGACTGTGAAAATTGTAGATTCACACTGAAGGCATCAAAACTATGAATTAACACATTTGGAATTATATACTCAACAAAAAAGTGTAAAATAACTGAAAATATGTCTTATATTCTAGGTTCTTCAAAGTCACCACCTTTTGCTTTGATTACTGGTTTGCACTCATGGCATTCTCTTGATGAGCTTCCACAGGTAGTCATCTGAAATGGTTTCCACTTCACAGGTGTCCCCTGTCAGAGTTAATAAGTGGGATTTCTTGCCTTAAAAATGGAGTTGTGACCATCAGGTGGATTCACAGCTAATTGTCCTACTGAATAGACTGTTAGAATTTGGATTATGCCAAGAAAAAAGCAGCTAAGTAAAGAAAAACAAGTGGCCATCATTACTTTAAGAAATGAAGGTCAGTCAGTCTGAAAAATTGGAAAAACCTTGACAGTGTCCCCATGCGCAGTGTTCTTGGCTATATTTAGCTCTGCTTTAATACTTAGAATGTGGAAACTATCTAACAGTAGAGTGAAGTTAACGTTTCCTGTTTTAAATATACAGTTAGTTAAATGATTGAGAGCAAAAAAATCAACCCCATTCACCCAGTTTAATTCTGTCACATTTAAAGGTCTCATAGTATTCTACATTTGAAAATAAAAAATATTAAGAATAGAGCCTCCAGCGCATTTTTTCCTGTTTGAACATTTAAAAAAATCAATGTTGTGAAAGCAATTCTCTGAAATACATCAGCAGACATCCCAAGTTCCAAAAACTCATTTCAGGGAGATGATTATTCTTCAGTAAAATTAGTTCTATATTTTTGTTTTTTACTCGAGGATTCAACCTCTGCCGTTTCCCAGGATGCACAGCTTTGAGTGGTAACTAAGAGACTGCCAGAGAGTAACCTAGAAACTTATCGGACTGATCCAATCAGCTCTCTGATCAACCAGTCGCCTGGAACGCTGGTTGAACAGAGCATCGCTTTGGACAGATACACTGCACAGGTTTCACCAGCAACCTCCTCCCCACACCCCGCACTCTCTTGTTGTCTTAGCTTGGCTTTTATCTTAGCTATTAGCTTAGCTCTTAGCTTAGCTCTTAGCTTAGCTCTTATCTTAGTTATTAGCTTAGCTCTTAGCTAAACTCTTAGCTAAAATGTTAGCTTAGCTCTTAGGTTAGCTCTTAGCTAAACTGTTAGCTTAGCTCTTAGGTTAGCTCTTAGCTAAACTCTTAGCTAAAATGTTAGCTTAGCTCTTAGGTTAGCTCTTAGCTAAACTCTTAGGTTAGCTCTTAGCTAAACTGTTAGCTTAGCTCTTAGGTTAGCTCTTAGCTAAACTCTTAGCTAAAATGTTAGCTTAGCTCTTAGGTTAGCTCTTAGCTAAACTCTTAGCTTAGGTGTTAGCTTAGCTCTTAGGTTAGCTCTTAGCTAAACTCTTAGCTAAAGTGTTAGCTTAGCTCTTAGGTTAGCTCTTAGCTAAACTCTTAGCTTAGGTGT